AGTCACGGACTAGAGATGCTAGCCTGGCGAGGCTACCACACGTTGAAGAGTTGAGGATATTCCCTGCGACGCAGTCGAGAGGTCCCGACATGGATGCGGGTGGCCCGTGACAAGAGGGATCAACATGCGGAGTATTATTTCGTCGTATATTTTTTTGACTTTGGCACCCGTCTCGGGACCTGCATGTCAACGGGCATATTCGGGAGAGATCAGCAGTCAATCCCATCCAAGTTTCCAATTTTCTCCGACGATTACAGCAGCGCAAATGCCGGAGCCACATGGTTGACAGGCCCTTTCTCTTTGTCAACTATTAACACCGCAACGACATCGTAACCCGTAAGATAAGCTGGTTTTGCAGAGGCATTGCATTCGATAGACGACAACCATGACAGGAATGAAGAGTTACCGTTGGATTTATTCCTTTGCAATCACCATGACACACCGTAAGAGTTGCAGGACTGTCAGAGGCTAGTGGAGATGAAGGAGATAGGCGTCAGGCGAGACCCTTCAACTCTCAAGCTACGGATACCATGGAGCTCGCCCACACTCTGTCCTCCCTCTCTCGAGCTGCCTTAATCTAACTCGAGGTTAAAGTTTGGCCAACGCTCCCAGGCTGTCATGTCAAGATCTTGTCGGTGCCCCTCAATCAGCTCTTAGCGCGGAAAACGCGATCGGACTTGTGCTCCCCCGGCCCTTGTCCTAGGCTCTCACTTACATTGCATTGCTGCAATCTACGGCAACGCACAAACAGACCGCGGCTCGCAGTAGCAGTATGCGTGCCATCATCATGAATTGACAGAGCACGCAACGCTCAAACACGGGCCTCTTCCGACGAGCAGTGTATGCCTTCTGGACATCTCTACCACGCATACGGCCCTCTCGCATTGGCTCTCGGTGCCAGACCGAGCCCCTCCCGGCGCAGGATCAAGGCTGACCTTTCGGGCAGTATTCCCACGCCTTCATATCCGGTATTCGGTCATTCGGCACCGATCCGGTCTCTGGCGGTCTCTGGAAAGGTTTGCCAGGAGCACCGTCCTCCTGGTCCCTCTCTTGGCGAACTCGGCCGACCACCCCCGCTTCGGAGCAAGACCGATGCTCAATCCCTCCCCTCGGGCCCCAACGCAAAGAAAAAGAGAAAGAGTGAGAAAAGCCACGCGTTGAGCCTGGCTTCCGGCAAAGCTCCCTGCTAAGCTTGAATTGTTAGCGTCCCTCTTGCTTGGGAAAACGCTATACAGCGTGATCTGGGGGGGGGGCCCTTATCCAGTCACAGCTCGGCCACGCCGCACCAGTACCACCAACGTGTATGAAGATTAGCTAGGCTGGGAGGGGCAGGCCGACACTGGCAGACTGGGCCCCCCTTTTCCCGGTCTTGGCTTCGACGGGTGCGCTCCGCGGTTGCTGCTGGTCCATGAAGCTCCAAGGGCAAGGTCACGACGCACCTGCAGTGGTGCGAAACCGTGATCCCTCCAACGTGGTAGACAGAGAGGGCCAGATCAAGTCGAGGAGGAAGCGTCCATACTCGAACGGTGCCCATCCTCCGGCGCATCCTCCGTGGCTGAAGTCCTTCGCTGCGGAATCTGGCCTCCAAAACGGCATCGCTCTGCATTCCACACCCTGTTCGTGGCTCTTATCACTGCTTGCGACAGACTCACAGACTCACAGTCTAGAGCATGCCCTCCAGCAGTTCAGCAGTCCAGCCTCTGGGCCTTGATAGAAGTGGCATTCAGCGAACTCTCACGGCCTCACCCCTGCACTGCCTTGCCTACTTGCTGCTCAGTGAGGTTCCAAGCATTCGTTTGTCAGAGCTTACAAGCCCGGGGGGCTCAGGCCAACAACGCCCATTGCACCAGCCTGGCTAGCGAGACAATCGTTCCCGTCTTCCAGGAACGAGGTCATCTCCTGTTCGTTAACAACCGTGACCAAAACTTGCATTGTTCAAAAGCCCGTAGCCATACATTTGGGCTGTTTCACGACGGCACGAGGGAAGCGCACCTGTTCTTGCACAGCCCGGCTCATCCCAGGCTCAACTTTCACAAACCTCTCAGGCTCTCCCCCGAAGGAAGCCCAAACAAATATCGGCAAATACTGCACAAACTGTACGGATATTCCCAGCGCGATAGCTCGCATCTTATCATAGGCAACGCCACATATAACGCTATAGCGAAGAACTGCTGCAGCCCCCCTTTCAATCTCCAACCATCCCCTTCCCCCCCATTGCCCCCCTCCCTCTTCCACCGAAGAAACGAGCGAGACCCCTGCTGGCTATTTGGACTCCGGTTGGACACGAGCTTCCAGAAGAATGTGGGTTTCTCTTGTGACAGGGTGACAGCGCGCGCCCCCATCAAGTGTGGGGTAAGGGTGGTCGGACAAGCTCCCACGGCTCCCAGCTCCCCCCCCCCCCCCCTCAAGGCTCAAGCTCCGAGGGCCCTGAGTAAATGAATAAGACGGATCCGTTATTGGTGATGGAGGCATGGATCTCTGCGATTGAGATTGAGAGGCCGTTTGGTATCCGCAAACTTGGCGGTCTTTTTTCTCCTCGGGTAGGGGTCTCAAGATGCAGAATATTCAATATCCTTTGCTATACTAAGCTTTTCAACTCGGGGGAGTTTATCGCTCTTGAGGACATTCGCCCGGTATGAGGATGGGTCTTTTATTTCTCCTCAGTCGCAAGAAGCGATATTGCAACGAGGAATGGTGGACGGTATCTACCTTTACGTATTGGGAGGCTTCAAGCGATTATACCCGGATACGTAACGACTGCCACCTGGGTATCCGTATTCGTACGAAGTACACTACGAGACGGGACTAGATGGTTATCTTTTTGCTGGGCGGCCTCTGCCTGTGGGCTTTCCAAGTGGGATTTTTTCCTCGCCTAACGATGGACATACCCGTGGCAACCGTCACGATGCAGGTCCTGTCACATATCCCGCATCCACCCATTTTAGCCGGAGGAGGAGCCCTTGTGACTGTCTCTCTCACTCTCTTCTTCCTCGAGTCTGCCAACCCCCGGAGCTGGGTTTGGAACCTCTTTGGTATCCACAACTCACGCCATGCCGCGCCGCCGGTGTGACCGCGAGGGGCAGTAGCCATGGCCGCGGATGCAGAGCAACCCCTTCCACGGTTCCGACCCCTGTCCTCTCGCGATACCCCGTTGGGAACGCCTTTTTTTGTGCCACAGTACGCAGTAGGAGTGAGAAGTGCGAACCGGTCCAGGCGAATGGGGAACGAGCGGTTGGGGGCACCTTGTTCACGAGGTGGAAGCGGAAAGAGGCAGGAGGCCGAAAAAAAGAGAGAAAGAAGGTGAGGCTGCAGACCCGCCACCATCTCAGATTCTGCAGTCACGAAGAACTTTGTGTCAGTTTTTTCTTGTCTTAGATGCGGATGCAGACAGATGCAGATGTAGCCCAGATGCGGGAAGGGGTCTACGGATACAGAGATCGGGCCGGGTGGAATACGAAAAGGAGGGTGCTGACGGGAACGGGAAGAGGGAGGTGGGAAGGTCTGCTGCCACGACTCCATGAGCAGAAACGACCTCTTGCGTCGCGAGGAGGAAACTGAGTCGGGGAGCAACGGCCACATTCAAACGACGGCTGGCTGTATTTCTGACGCTTCGTGCTCCAGCTTCAGGAGGAAACGAAGCCCTCCAGGAGTCGTGACCATTGTCGGATTGTCCCCAGCAGCATCACCATCGGCTATTGGAGCCCTGCCGTTCTATCCTCTATCTCTCACCTTTCTCCCTCCCCTGAAGCACGCACGTGGAGGAAAGCCTTCCGCTGAGAGCAGTTTGTTTGATTGTGAGTTCCGAAACCACTCGTGGGAAGGGAGATCGGCCAGACGGAACATGGAACGAACTGCTTGTCGAGGTATCTACTGTTTACGCAGCAAGGGGATTATCGACGTCCAGGTCCAGGTCTCGAGGTCTGAGCCGGGTGGGCGAGAAGGAGACTTTTCGTCCGGTTTCTCACCCCGGAAAAGACGGAGAGAAGTTTTCTTGTTCCAGGCCACTGTCGACAAACTCTCTCCTCTCTCACTCTCAGTGTTGTACGAAGGTATGTGGGAGTGCATGATCTCATGCGGCAGCACCGAAAAAGAAAGGGGTGGACGGTGACGGGTGGCTTGGGGAACAGAAACGCAGGACAAGCCTCCAGGGGCCAGGGGAGAGAAGGGAAAGGATAAGTCGGGACGGCGGCGAGCAGGCACAAGGAACGGCTTGGGCAATCCCCGTATCCCGGAGTGCGAAGACGGCCCAGAGATTCTCTCCAAGGTTACGGATACGTCACGCAGGGAGATCCCATCCCCGGGGAAAGGCAGCGCCGTTTCAGGATGTTGGTCTTGTTCGTGGTTCGCTCGTTCAGCTCCGTTCTGGCTGGCGTCTGCAGCTTGTGCAGGTTCGTGTGGAGTTCGAAGACAATCAAGAGAGAGAGATTGATACGGAAGATACCCCGTGCTGGGCTCGCGTGAGCTTATCGACGGTTGAGTTTTTGGTGTGCCTGGAGTGCCTGGAGTTTAAAAGACAGGTGTGATAGCCAAGGCTTCCAGGAGAGCCGATGGTCCGGCCTTTGATGCGGGTGTTGGATCTCATCTAGAGTGATGAGGGATGGCCATTTCGATGGCGCCGTTAGATGTCGTGCTCAAGCCACGGCATTTGATCGATTGAGAAGGGTACTTCGTACTCTGTAGATGGAGAGAGATGGCAAGCAATCGTTCGCCTGGCCTGTCTGGTTCTTGCGACTTTGGGACGTTTGGGATGAATGCTGAAGACCTCGGATACTTTACGAGGGTTTACCACCTGGTGAAACAAACGTGAGGTGGGGGCTGGAAAGAAGCAGCCGCCCTCTCCAAGGTAGCACTCGTGGCTTCCATGGCAGATCCAGATAAAGTGTGGCTGGAGATATGTGGCTTGGACGGTTGCCGAATTAACCGTCTGTGGCTGACCATTCTGTCCCACGTGTGGCTGAAGCTACCCCTCTACCTTAGTCCAAATGTGGCAAGTGCTACCAACAACATCACGAGAGGAGGAGTTGAAGGACATCAAATTTCTGGAGAACTGGAGCTCCGCAAAGTCAGCAAGTTTTTACACACATGTGGCGATCCCTCCTTGCAAAGGGTTCAATTCCTATCAGAACAAGCTTCACCCGCCTCACGAACCCCCAGAGCCGCGCAGCCGCCTTCGGCACTACTGCAAAGATGGCGTCCACCACTTCGGCCAACAGAGACCCAAACACCCTGTCAAACTATGGCGCGTGGCTGACCAAGCACACCACCGCCAACCTGACAATCGACTTCAAGGACAAGTCTCTCAAGGGCTCCGTCACCCTCGAGCTCGAGTCCTTGACGGACAGCCAGAGCAAGGAGATCATCCTCGATTCGAGCTTCCTCTCCATCTCGGGCGTCAAGGTCAACGCCGCCACCTCGACATGGGAGCTCAAGGACCGCGTGGAGCCGTACGGCGCCCCTCTGCACGTCTTTGTGCCCCAGGGCGCCGCCAAGGGCGAGGTGGTCAAGGTCGACGTCGACCTCGCTACCACGGACAAGTGCACCGCCCTGCAGTGGCTCACGCCCGCGCAGACGAGCAACAAGAAGCACCCGTACATGTTCTCCCAGTGCCAGGCCATCCACGCTCGCTCGCTGTTCCCCTGCCAGGACACGCCGGACGTCAAGTCGACGTACAGCTTCGTCCTCGCCTCGCCTCTGCCCGTCGTCGCCAGCGGTGTCCTCGTCGAGGGCTCCGGCAAGGATGAGAAGAAGGGTGACGACACGGTCTACCGCTTCGAGCAGAAGGTTCCCATCCCGTCGTACCTGTTCGCCCTAGCCTCGGGTGATATCGCCACGGCGCCTATCGGACCGCGGAGTATCGTTGCCACGGGACCTGATGAGCTCAAGGAGTCGCAGTGGGAGCTGCAGAACGACATGGAGAAGTTCATGGAGGTTGCGGAGAAGCTTGTCTTCCCTTACCGGTGGGGTCAGTACAACGTTCTTGTCTTGCCGCCTAGTTTCCCCTACGGCGGTATGGAGAACCCGATTTACACGTTTGCTACGCCGACCATCATCAGCGGCGACAAGCAGAATGTCGACGTTATTGCACACGAGCTGAGTCACTCGTGGAGTGGTAACTTGGTGACTAGCTGCAGTTGGGAGCACTTGTAAGTGAGAGTCCGGTGTGTTGCAATTTGTGATAAAGCAGGTGCTGACGATGTGATATAGCTGGCTGAACGAGGGCTGGACCACATATCTTGAGCGCCGTATCGGTATGGCTGTCCACGGTGATGCTGAGCGCGACTTCTCCGCCATCATCGGCTGGAAAGCCCTTGAGGACGCTGTCGCTCTCAACGGCGCCGACTCCGAGTTCACCAAGCTCATCATCAACCACAAGGGCATTGACCCCGATGACGCCTTCAGCACCGTCCCCTACGAGAAGGGCTTCCACTTCCTCTACTACCTCGAGCGTCTCGTCGGCATGGATGCCTTTGACAAGTTCATCCCCCACTACTTCACAAAGTGGTCCCGCAAGTCCCTCGACTCGTTCGAGTTCAAGGACACCTTCCTTACCTTCTTCAACGGCCTCGGCGACGAGGAGATTAAGAATAAGGTCGCCTCCATCGACTGGGATACGTGGTTCTACCAGCCCGGTCTCCCGCCTAAGCCCGCCTTCGACACCACCCTGGCTGATGTCTGCTACAAGCTGGCCGAGAACTGGAAGGACGAGTCCTTCAAGCCCTCCGCCGAAGACGTGGCCTCCTTTTCCGGAAACCAGAAGCTTGTCCTCCTCGAGACGATCGAGAAGTTCCCGTCTCCTCTATCTGCTGATCGCGCAAAGCTGCTCGGCACCGTGTACGACCTTGTGTCGTCGCGCAATGCCGAGCTCAAGACGGCGTACTACAAGATCGCGCTCGCCGCCGAGGACTCGTCCGCGTATCAGGGCGCCGCAGAGCTACTGGGTCACGTTGGCCGCATGAAGTTTGTGAGGCCGCTATTCCGGTCGCTCAACAAGGTCGATCGGGAGCTTGCGCTGAAGACTTTTGAGAAGAACAGGGACTTTTACCACCCCATTTGCCGTGGTATGGTGGAGAAGGATCTCGGACTTGTGTAAATTAAGCGATAGGGGGGGGGATGGTATAGGGGCGAGGAGCGATGTTACTCAGAAGCACCATATCGAGTGTCTCATTCCCAACGCAGAAGTCGAAGCAAAGCAGGTGTAAAACACCGCAAATACCTAGGCACGGGATCATGCTTAAAGAGCCCATGCAGCCTTTTAAGCCTCCCGACTGTCTGGCGTCCAAAACATTCCTCCATCACCCAATTGTGTGTCGTTGGTAAAGTTACAAAAGGCTGTTTATCGATACATCGCCATTCAATTGTGTGTTGTAGGATATTTAGTGATATTAATCCTTGCTACGAGGCTCTACAAATTGATCTGCTCTAGAAAGCTCTTGTCGTCTCCTCCATGTTTTTATTACTTTATTTATATAATTACTAGGAGACCCTGTTATTGTTTTTATTTATTATTCTCTTTCATAACTCTAATTAAAAAATATTTACTAATAATTGAAATCTTTAAATTAAAAAATTAATTAGAAAACGATTTTTCTTAATTTTATAATAATTATACTTTTAAAAAAATTTATATAATATAGTAAATATTTTAATTATAAAATATATATATTATATTTAATTATTAATTTATTTAATAAACTATATAAAAGAATAGAAAACCAAAAAAGTAAAAGAAAATTAAAAATAGTTTGCTAAAATAGTAGAGGTATTTATTAGTACTATATATTAATATTATATAATTAATATTAAAAACTACTTAAGTAATTAATAAAGATAGAATTATAAAACAAATAAGTTTATTATTATTTTCAATTTTATTTTATTTTTTAAAAATAAAATATTTTTTTAATATTTAATTTCTTTTATTATTAAGTTTTTTTATTATTTATTTTAATATATAATTAAAATAAATAATAGTTATATTAAGTATTTTAAAATAACTTATTTATTTTAAATTATATAACGGTTTTAATATTAAGATTATTATATTATAATAAGTCTATACTTAGCGTATATTATATATATTATATATATTATATAATTAAAATATATATTATATCATTTCTTTTAAAAATTTTTAGTTTTATTATAATTAATTTTTTATACTTATAAAACTAAAAAACAAAAAAAGCTAATAACTAATATATTAAAGTATTAGTTTTTATAATAATAAGATTTTTACTATGTAGTTTAATTACTATTTAGGGAGCTCGTTAAGTTTATTAAAGTAGCTTAATAATGCTATAGAGGCGCTCAGACCCGTCTATATAACCTGACTAGTCGGACGAATCCGATATGTAGGATGCTCCCTTAGGCGCATCACTATCGTCAAGAAACCGCCTTGCCCGTCTTAATGGCGTTATTGGTCTTAAAGCGGCTCTTTTAGCCCCAGATAGCCTGTACTTACGATAACGTGGCGCGGCGTATTCCATGAGAAGCCTAACGACATCTTCGTGGCGTTTGCAGAATGCAAAGGCTAGTGGAGTCCTACTATCTCGATCTTCCCAATTTGAATCTGCTCCACACTTTAACAGATATTGCACGACATTGACATGGCCTTCAGCAGCAGCGATGAACAGGGGCGATTGATCTGCATGATTGATCATGTCGACTTGTGCTCCTGCTTCGACCAGGCGTTGAGTGGCTTCAAAATAGCCTTTGCCAGCAGCAATCCACAAGGGCGTTGTTCTTGTTCCATCGGTAAAATTGGGGTCGGCACCATTAGCCAGCAGAAAGGACATTATAGAAAGGTCTTCCACTTCTGTAGCTAGACAGAGCAGTTCTGCACCCTCGTCTCCTCTCCGCAATTTCATTTTGCGGAACAGCTCCGCATGCCCCGTCTTCACTGCTTGGGCATGAGATTCTTTGATGTTTGTGCGGCCTCTTCCATGATAATCTCGTACACGAGGAGTCGAGAGTATTATCGCCGCTGAAATCTTCTCAGTCTGGCCATCAAGGAACTCCAACTTGGTAACAGCCTCTTGGTTCACGAGGTGCGACAGTGGCCTGACGCAGTCCACAAATATTGAGTCCCAGACTGAATACCATCGATCATCGTCATTCCAATCCTTCTCTAATATCATATCGAACGAAGAAAGCATGCCAGGTTGTATACAACCTGGGGATGGAATTGTTTCGGGAGGTGAACAAGCTGCCGCCGCAGTATGTTTCTGACAATTATCAGGCTTGTCAAAAATCCGGTAGCAAGTAGGGCACTGGATGGGTGTTGCTGCATGATGGCTTTTCAAGTGCTCAACAACTTGCCGTGTCGATTTCATGCCAAGTTGACGGGATCCGCACGATAGATGTGTCAGTGGCCACCGCTTGAAGTAGTGGCAAGCATAATCGTCAGATGTTGGCGGCGGAATTGCGTTGTTGGATCGAGGTAAGTTCGGAGGATCTGATTCCGAAAAAATGAGGTCCACAGATCCAAGCGAATCTCGGGAGTAGTTGCTCATTCCATTGTCGTTGGTGTTGCTACCAGGAACGGATTTGTCTTCATTACCATAAGACCGTGGTGCGGCGAAGGAGGCAAGTCTTTCCATATGAGAAGCCATGTGATTGACAAGGCTTTTCTCAAAGGGACCGCAAGTGAGACAGAACGGGCAAAGCTGGCGTTCATCCTTGATGCTTGCATGTGAGAGCTCAGCCAATGTCTCGATCTGAGATTCCCCTAGGCTTGGATGTGAGCTGTGTAAATGTTTGGCCAAACCTGCCTGCGTTTTGAATAAATCATGGTGCTCGAAGCAGCGCCAAACTCTGCGATGAGCTTGCGATTCGTGATCTACCCAGGCAAATCTACTCGAATACATGACTTCGTCTTCATCACACTGATCATAAGTGCACATATAAGGTCGGAGATCTCGTAGAATATGCTCCCTATCTTGAAAGTTAGCCACGTCACGTAATTCACGAGCCTGACTCACCGCCAGCGTTTGTCTTTGCCCTCTTTTGCAGGACAAACTACGCAACAGCATGGGCAGATGAACTCTTTCTGACCTCCTCCCACTACTGGTGAAGGAGGGAGCTCTGTCGCGTTGCCGCTGAGATCGAGAGCAGTCGAGCAATACGATACAACCGAATCGGTGTCGGCGCTCAAATCGCCGGATATGGGTCTTGAGGCTTCGGTTCCAGAATAAATTGTCGGACTGACAGAATCAAATGCTGGGCCAGTCGGGGCAAGGGGGACGAGCTTTGGTTGAGAAGGAAGAGATAGTCTGACGTGCTCAGCATCCTCGCCATAAACCTCGCTTGGGGAGACCAGCGGCATCGTCTGCTTGATGTCTCGAATGGCAGACGGAAACTCATCCCTGGCCAGTTTCCGGGCATGTCTTCGCCAATATGCAAAAACCCGTCTGCGGTCGGTGATGGACTTACCCCAACGCTGAACAAGATATAAGCCGAACGAGTTCTCTGGTTCCATGAATGGCACAGAACTTGGAGGCGGTTCATGAGATTGTCCATAGCTCTGTTCGCGAGACTGATCCGTCGTTTCTTTTCTTACCAGTCGAAAATATTCCTCCACATGTCGATAGTCAAAATACGAGTACCCTCCCAGAATGTCAAGTACTGATGGGTCTTCAGGATTGGGAGGTTCCTTGTATGACAAGGCTCTTTGATTCAACTGTGTCGTCCTAGAAGAAGACCCTCTAATTTGGAATGATATTTTGACGAGTGCTGCGAGTGTTTGGTCGATTCGAGACGAGTTGTAGCCTATCTCGCTCTGTACATTATTTTTGACATCATCGTACTGGATGGTCTCGGCTGAAACGCTACCATCACTTGATTCCGAATCGTCGTCACGAGTTACACAGAAAGCTTCTTCCACGGGCTTGCTTGAACCGTTCACAATCAGATCGTCTGCAAAAGCTGGTAAGCAACAATTAGTTGATCAGCATCATCATCTGGTGAAGATGAGATTGAGGCGGTAAATGTTAATCAGAGTTAAAGTGAAGAAGCTGGCGTTCTTACTTCTGCATATAAAGGTATCCAAGTCGGCGAGAAACCTCAAAATGGTGTCTTTCACAAGTGATGCCTCCATCAAACGGAAGTCGAGTGACGCGTTCCCGTTTGCAAGTGCCCCCAGGCCGGCCGCCCAGACTTTGAAGCGATCCCGCTGGTTCTTCGCCAATTCTGCAGATAACTCTTTATGTTGAAAGTCTTTTCGCGTTTCCAGAATCGATACAAGATGACAGAAGCTTTCAAGGCATGCTTTGGTTGCCGCTGCTAGCGGAAATGGCGATTCTGTCTCCATGGCAGCGCAATCAATCTTGTTATGGGCGTCGATTTATCGCTTGCTGGTGTAAGATCAGCACATTGTAGCTCCCTCGAACAGGCAAGATGGTTCGGCGATGCACATCGATCGCGACCATGTCAATTTCTTGCAAAAACTTCGCATCGGTGTCTTCTTGAAGCCTGATTCGGTCGTCGAAGCTGCAAGGGAGGGGAAGACGGTTTTCAGAGACTGAAAATGATGAATACAAACAATCGCTCCGTAGAATGCAGATATCTCAATTAGCAAATCTTCGGAGTTCTAAAAGAGGGGTAATGCCATTTTAGGAACGACGATGAACTGATTCCTGTACATTCAGCCAATAGGGTAGTCTTAGCTGCAAGGCTGCGTCACTGGAAATTGAAGAAAGACTTGCCACCGATAATGTCATTTTCTCACAGTTACCCATGTATCTCGGCAACCTGTAATCGTTCACACTTTGTTCCTGAAGCGGCAGCATACCTTGAGACCTACTGATACATCTCGAAAGTCCTTTGACATTCTCCTTTGTCGGAACAACGATTGCTATGGCCGAGGTCGCTGGTCTTGCGCTCGCCGTGCTGCCTTTGCTGATCAGCGCTCTGGAGCATCGCCAAGGCATATCAAGACCTCTACGTGCCTTTTTCAAGTTTCGACAGGAACTCTCGACAGCTCTGATCGACTTGAGATATGTATTTGTCGCGTATGACCAGAGTGTTCGATTACTACTCAACACGAGAGTAAGCGGTGATGAAATGAGTCGGATGATAGCTGACCACCAAGATCAACTTTGGATGTCACAGAATCTGTCTTCTCAGCTGAAGAGGGATCTTGGATCCGCATATGACGAATCCATGCGTCTACTGAAGCGGATCGAAGCCACCATGGAGACCATCGCCGCTGATCTTGACATAGGAGGCTCAGACCAAGTAAGCAGGTTGGAGGCGAGACAAGCAGGTCGGCTGACATCCATCAAAGGTCTTACAGCATGGATTGCAGACTATCATTGCAGCAAACCCTCAGATTTCCGATCCGAAAACCCCTTCCAGTCAAAAATATCAGCTACGAGGACGTCTCAAGTTTACTCGGAAAATCGGCAAAGTGACGGAGGGTATACACCAGCTAGAAGAATACAATCGGAAATTGCAAAGTCTTCTGGACAATGCGAAGAAAATTGGCGCCGCTCAGAACCTCGACGAACCTGCCTCGCAGACCTCCATACAGTTCGTGGCCGATTTGCAGACCATACAAGCAAACGTTGCGAGGGTTCACAACGGTCTTATCGGACGGTGGTGCCTGAAACCGCAAGGTCATCAGACGGGGCTGCTGCTTGAGCAACGCCTCAGGCGCAGGAGGAGACACCGACAAGGTCCGCTTAATAGCGTGGGTATGCAGGACCGTTACGGTGTCTCCATTCGAAGATGCGCTGAGAGGAGTTGGTTCGACACTGAAGTCCACGTGTCTTGCGATGTCGATACGGCGACCAGGTATTATGTATCATTACCACTGGAGGGCTTTCGATCACAATGACTAACTGGGTAGCAGTTACCCCAACATCACCATCGCTCCCCCCGAACCATCAACTTCTGCACAGAGATCCTCGAGTGTCGTGAGCGAGGTGAGGGATATTTGCATGGCTATCCAGAGTGCGGTCTACCCGAAGTCCGGATTCAGCCTAAATAAAACCAACGTCCTTTACGGGTTCCATCACCTGGAAACCCGTTCCTACTTTCTCGCGAATAGTGCCGTCACATTGAACGGATATCTTCCCGTTATCAAGAGGAAAGAGCACTCGATTCCAGACTTGTACTGCCTTGCAATCACTCTTGCAGCTTCGGTGCTTCAGTTAAGCGAAACGCCTTGGTTAGTCAAGCCATGGAACAGGAATAAGATTTTCTTCATACGCCAGAAAGACAGAGATCAGATATCCGTGGATATAAAGCATCCTTATCTAATCTATCAGTATGATGAGGGTAACGTTCCTTCGCTTCCATACGGATTTCTCTGTTCGCCGACTAATCTCCATGTAGTTTCTTCACCGCCCGATTGCAGAACGGTTTCGGTCTCTCCAGGCCAACAGAACATGCTCGAACTAGCCGTCATGCTTCTGGAATTGCATAGCGGTATACCCATTGAAACTTTGACAAAAGATGAAGAGCTCGGACGAGATGGTGCACGCAACGAGTTTACAAAGTTTTTGACGGCGAGCAGAGTTCTCCGTCAGCAAGTGGACGATGGTCAAATATCATTTGGGTTTATGACTGCCATTCAACACTGTCTCAACTGTTGGAACGATCCCCGTCCGTCCTTTGATGGTGACTCAGACTTTGTTCAGTCAATACAAGAACATGTATTGGCACCACTAGAGGGAGAGATGATGAGGTTCATGTACGGTTGAGGAAATCAATAAGAGCTGCGACAATCCCAATCTCCACCTCATCATCGTTTCGGAAAGGATCGCTCGTTCAAGTCTCTGTCACGTCGATGTAACGGAGAAATCTCGAGAAATATATATCAGTGGAAATCACCGGACAGTCAGACCCGTGATGAGGAGTAGAAGTCAACGGAAGATGGGAAGGGTCACAGAAGGGAATCACAACTACATGGCAGGAGATCAGAGACATTAGTAAGAGATAACAGCCACGAACATGTAGGACTTCTATGCTTAATATTGTTTAATAAGGCAATACTCCGAAGCTGGGAAACCTCCTGGTCTTTCAAATAATGGGCCACAATTTGGATTGCTCCTGCACCGACAGCTTCCGCAGCAACGGCCCAGCACGGCTACCATCTCCCGAGAACCCAAACGGCTGCTCGCTGCTGGTGGGCCGTCTCAACCTCCACTTCTCCCGCAATATCGTAGACGGCCTGCGCTCGAAGCTGTCAGCGACTTGCGGACCAATGGCCGGAAGGAACTTGAAAGCACTGTTTCCTCAACGTTAGCAAACAGGACCAAATCAGGGGCGAACCACGAAGAAAATGAAGATACTCACTGTCCAGCACCACCAGTCGCAAAGAACAAGCCCTCGAAATCCGGGTGATAGTCCGCAATAAAGTCTCCCTCAGGGGTATCAGTGTACCAGCACATCCTCTTATAACACCACTCCCTCTCCGCAAACTCGGGGAAGAACAACCTCACGCCCTCCCTCAAATCCTCGTCCGCGTCCTGCGGCAAATACCCAGACGCGGCATTACTCTCCCTCAACCGCGGCGTCGAAATCGTCCTCTTCCCCGCCCCGCCCTCCTCAACCTCAACCTCGGTCGCGAAACCCCACCCGTGCCTCGCAAGCTTGAGCAAGTTCGTCCCCGGGGAAGGCGGGAAGCAGAACACGCCCGTGCTCATGTTGATCATGACGGGCATATCCTTCACTCTCTCCGCCTCTTCAGCCGAAAGCTGGATGAAGCCCACGGGCTGGCCCGAAGCCGACATGGCGTGTCCCATGCCGGGGATGATGCGGTTCGTCCACGCCCCCGTCGCAAGAACAATCTTGTCCGCCGACAGCGTCGTCCCCGCCGCCGTCTTCACGCCTGTAACCTTATTGCCAGACCTCTCAAGCGAGACGACGGTCCCGTGTCGACCCGTGACAAACGACACGCCGGCAAGCGTACACCGCCCCGCGAGCGCCCTAATCGCCCCCGCGGCATCAGCCCACCCACCAATAGCATTCAACGTGGCCGTGAAATCCTTCAAGTCAGCCTGCACGCCCTTATACCGCTTCTTCACCTCGACATCCACCAGCGGCGGCGCATAAAACTCCTTGGCCGGCCTCCCGCCGCTCTCCCACTTGCGGAACTTGTCAAAGTAGGCGCTCGGCCCCTCCCGCTCGTCGGCCATCATGACGAAGCCGGACTGGTGGTAGTGTGGGCCGAACAGCTCCGACGTCTGCCAGCCGTGCAAGGCGTCCGTGGCGAGGGCGGCGTAGTGCGGGTCTGCGTACTCTGTGCGGATGATGCGTGAGACGTCGACGGAGCTGCCGTCGGGGACGGGCGGGAGGAAGCGGTCTAGGACCGTGACGGAGGTGTAGCCGCGGTTTTTTGTGAGTTCGTAGGCGAGGGAGAGGCCGAAGACGCCCGCGCCGACGATGAGGATTGGTGAGTCTTTGGATGTCATTGTGTAAGATGCGGTTTTGTGGTGGATGAGATGGAAGTAAGGTTGTGAGAAGATTGAGTGAAAACTCCAGCTCAAGTTTCTCACTTCTTTGTCTCTAGTTCAAAGTGATAGAGCTAGAAGAGTAAGCAAAGACGATTTGATCTCAATATGAGTGAGCTCTTCAACGACGTGCGACTCTCTCATGTTATACCTATCGACTTATCTCAACAATCAACGTCGGCGCAGGGTCCGATGGGATACAAGCTGGTGTGGGGACGGACCGGTTTCCGTACCCACATTTTCCACATCCAACAGCCTGGGTGGGGGCTGCGTGGAGTTCATCGCAAGTAGCAAAGCAAATGAGAAAAGAGAACAACGTCTACCGAGGTGGGAACCGTTGGGGCCCGGATTTGCCAACCTGGTGCCATTGGATGCCGCCATGTCGGGCTTCCGGAGTCGGAATTATGGGGACTGGAATTTACGGGCCTCTCTTTGCAGGGCAGGCTGGTGCTGGTCCGCTGGGTGGTCCCCGTTGTGGGTCCAGTCGGCTTCTGCCCGGGGATCGCTTACCGAGTAGATGCTATTGCTTCCCATCACCAAGAATTGACACACCGCATTTAGCATCATAGAGTAAAAAACGAACAATTCATAGACGTGCTACCGACCCTAAACCCATTCTGAATAGGTACACCTGTCATCCAACAGAAACGACATCCCTACATCGTAGATACCCCCTATCATGTCTTCTTCCCTCATACACCACACCCCAACATCTCCATCACCCACCTTTTCAAACAAAAAATCAGTGGAACTGATCCTCCGTCACGCCCTTACCCATGGCAGCGGTACTGCTGATGCCGCCGGTAACCATCTTCTGCAGCTCGTCGACGTACGTCGCGCCGCTCCACTTTTGGTGCTTGACGACGTCGACGCCCGAGTCCATCTCGGGCTCCTGCACGAGCTCGCCGTACGCGCGCATACCCTGCTGGCTGTAGGCCTTGGCGAACTTGTCGCTGATGAGCGCCGTCGTGTGCAGGCCCGCCAGGGTGATGAACTGCCAGCAGTAGCCGAGCGACGCGAGGCGGCGGATGTACGTCTCCTGCTCGGCGCGGGGCATCGCCGTCTTCCAGTTGAAGGAGGGCGAGAGGTTGTAAGCGAGCCTGAAGAAGACCAAAAGTTAGTAAAACCCGATTTTCTTTGCACCCAGAGGATTCTTTCTTTCCGAGGCTGGACCTGTAGACTTACTTTTGTTCGGGCCAGACGGCGTGGACGCCCTTGGCGAACTCCTGCGCCTGCTTGAAGTCGGGCAGCTTGCTCTCCATCCAGATGGCATCGCAGTAGGGGGCATACGCGATGGCGCGGTTGATGGCGCAGTCGCAGCCGCCCTTGAGGCGGTAGTAGCCCTCGCGCGTGCGCGGGGAGTCCCAGTCAAAGTGGATGTCGGCGCCGAGGATGCCCTTTGCGATGGCGCGCGCCTCGTTGTTGCTCTTGCCCTTGGCGGCGGCGGTGTACTTTTGAATGAGGCCGTCCTTGTTGGACAGGGGCGCGGCCTTGATGGCGTCGACGACGGCCTCGTCGAAGCGCTTGAGGTTGGCCTGCTTCAGCCAGTTGTCCTCGATGGCCTGGAGCTGGTCGCCCGTCTTGCCGGCCAGCTCGGCGGCGATCATGAGGTCGTTGAGGGGCTGGAGGCTGGGGTTCGTGGAGCCGAGGATGAAGGCGTGGTCGCGGGGGTCGATGTTTGTGCTGAGGAGGGTGGCGGCCTCGGCGTCGGTGCGGGCGACGGCGACGAGGTTGGAGCCCATGATGTCGGCCTGGGCGCGGATGGCGACGAGGCGGTTGATGTGCTCCTGGATGGGGACGAGGACCTTGCCGGCCATGTGGCCGCACTTCTTGGTGCCGGGGGCCTGGTCCTCAATGTGGATGCCGGCGGCGCCCTTCTCGATGAAGAGCTTGGTTAGCTTCATGACGGCCGTGAGACCGCCGTGGCCCGTGTCGGCGTCGGCGATGATGGGTCTCAGGTAGTCGATGTTGGCGAGCTTGGCGCGAGCCTCCTTAGAGACGCTCAGGCGTTCCTGGCGTTGTTTCCGGTCGTGGAAGAGCTGGGCCATGAACAGGTGGGCAACCTTATTAGGCACGGTGGTCTGTCAAGGCAGGTTAGCCATGGGAATTTGCTTGGACAGTGGTTGACAAGGTGAAGAACTCACGTAAGGGTAGTCTGCCAGATCCGGGCCGGGCTCGTCCGAGGCTGAGGCCGTTGACGATGATTGCCAACCAGATACGTAGACGGTGTCGAGGTACTTGGCCATCTGAGTGACCATTGTGGGCTCCAAGCAGCCGTAGGTGTAGCTGGCGTCCTTGTTCTTGAAGCGGTTCTCGAGAATCTCAAAGAGCTTCTTGGACTGAGCGTTACTCGGGTACTCAATCTTGAGGTGTCCTCTCTTGGAGACAATCTGCTCGGCGGTGAAGGATCGCTTGGTGTGTCTCCATCGCGGCTCACTCCACCACTTCTTGACTTGCTCAACCTCCTTTTGGAACAGGTCATCCTCGATGTTCGGGTCCACGGCGTTGTTGACCATGTTGCTGGCAGCCATGATGGGCAATGTGTAGCTTGAGACTTGTGGGAAAGATGATGCTATTGTGAGGGTTTGTAGCGGAGATTTCTCGGCGACGATATGCTTCGAGATGGAGGGGTATGTAGGAATCGAGGTTGCACAGGAATATCTAGATACTTGGCAGGCCAGGAACAAGACGATGTAAGCACCAGACTAATGATGCTATTCACAACTCAATTGACAAGTGGTCAACGAGTTCGAGGGAAGAGATGATGGTGCTTGGAGGGGTAGAAGAGGAGGAGAAAGAAAGTCAATCTTGGAGGAGTCACAAGCAAAAAAAAGAAGAGGTCACGGCAGAGCATAAGAATAAAGAAGCAGGTAGGCAAGCAGAAGCTAGGCCATGGCCGCCATCGGCAGTGTTCGGCCAAAAGGCGTTCCTGGACCAATCGTCTTACATCTGTTTCGAGGCTTGTACCTCTGACCTCTGGCCCAGGCCAGTCAATGGACAGTGTGAAGAACGCTCTACGCGGTGAGGGTGACTCGCCCAGCCCTCCATTCACCCAGCCAGTCACGTACGGTTGTAGGCATGGGAAAGCATAAGATGAGTGGTGTGTCTATGGTCTTTGGTAGGGCGAACGAAATCTTGGCTGGGTGCCAGGACCGTGGGTAAAACAAACCTCGGAAGCTGAAAATAGTTCGGAACAAGCTCCTGGAGCAAGTACCAGATACTTTTGAATGACCCTGCTTCTCCTCGTGGTCTGTTCCGTGGAGAGAGGAGGAGGAGAGGTAATGGTGGCGTCTCCTTGTTGGAGTGCCTGGTGTGGGGGAGCGGAATGAATGCTCTCTGCTGTGAGTGAGTGAGTGAGTGACTGACCGACTGACTGAGATGGTCTCATAGTGTAGGTAGGAATTGGTAGCGGAATGTCTGACAGCCAATCTGTAAGTGTACCTACCTACCTACACTAATGACCGGGCAGTGTGAGAAAGGGGTGACGTCGGGCGAGAGGTCTGGATTCGGCTCAAAGGGGAAGACGGATTTGGGGCGAAACGCAGCCAGTCTTTCCTCATTGCCGTCATTGGCCGAGTTGCCGAAGCTCCTTGCATGTCCCCCGCCGTGCCCCGCCATACCAATGCCCTCCTCCCGCTACTGTACCGTACCGCCGTACCTGGGGACGCTGGGCTCTGGGGAAAGCACAGCAACAGCAGCAACACAGCCGGGCCATGGGAAAACATTCTGCAACCCGACTGCAAGCAGTTCCCGTACGTCTGCCGGTCCCCGAGATTCTGCAACGCCATGCTCCCGTCCGTCTGTAATTTGTAGTGTACTCGGTACTCCGATTCATCCTTTGCTTTTTTATTTTTTTTTTCCTCTATGAAGATGATTGAGAAACACAAATTCCGTCTGGTAATTACTTGGAGTACAGAGTACAAAAGTCGAAGCTACTGCCAACTCTCCCCCAAATCTGTCGCGCGGGGTAGCGGCGGCTCTCGAGCATGTGAAGAAACTGTGCCTGAGTCGGCAGCCATTCCATTGGCGCCGGCTTAACCCAGAGCTGATCACGCTTTCCTGGCGTGCGTCACACTTTCTGGCCTCAGCTTCTCCAACTCGCGGGAAAGACTTGGAGAGATACCTCGGCCCTAAGGTCGACTCTGTACCTCTCGCCGAATCCAGCCGCCGTTGCGAAGATGCTTCCGGAATCTCCCTTACCCTCCTCCTTAAGTCGTTCAATACACTGTCAGTCACTGTGTCACATGTCCTGTCTTAATACCAAGTTACCTCACACCACGCACCACAAGCCAACCTCTTGCCACACTTCCAAAAGCTCAATGAGGCTTGATCAATCTACTTGCTGTCACGGAACTTGTCCGATCGACACGTGCCGAACACATCCCTCCCCGTCACTTCATCCCATATCACCATCTTGTCACGTCAACTTGTACAAGTTTGGATCGCATCGGGTGGATATCTGGTTTGGCTTTGCAGCCAGTCTAACCTCTTTTAACAGTCTACCAGACCCTGCCCATCCCTTCATTCGTGTCTCAATGCAGTCGAGATGCATGGTCATGCATCTTCCATTCAACGTCAGTCCTTTGCAAACTCCTTTCCCAACCTCCAATATCCGACGTGCCGCGGCAAGATGTGAGAGCAAATGCAGACCCCCCTCCAGGCCAATCCAACTCGACCCGGTGTCAACAACAGGTCCTGTACCGTTTTTACCAGCTTTTCGTCGTACTTTTCATGGCCCATCGTATACGTTATGTGTAGCTTCGTCGCCCGACCACGCCAGAGTCACTCAGAGAAGCTCGGCAAGCTGCTTCTCATTATTCTCTTCGACAGCCTTTGTAAAGGTCTCATAAGGGGTGAGCGTTCCAAGAGCACGCCGCATGTGTGCATTGACAATTTGCAGTCCATACACATAGCTTGCGTTAACCCATCCGAAACTATTCTCTGTTAGCAGAGTCATCACAGAATGTCACAGGCACAAACAACTTACCCTTCCTTGGCGACACCCTTGAAATCGAGACCCTGATTACCGTACTCTGCATCGACCCTGTGAGGATCAATGGGTCGAGTAACGTCGTACTTCTCGACGACCACTCCGTTGAAGTCAACAAAGGCCTTGGTCATCATGAACAGCCACTTGTACGCCAGACGCTCAGCGTCCTCGTTGAAGCTGTATCGGACAAGTCCAGTCCAGGCAAGCATCTGCTGAGGAGCCCAGCCGTAGGGATAGTCCCACTGGCGATTAGGTCGCTCCAGGCCAACTTCACCACGAGACTTCTTCGTGCCCGACAGCAGACCGCCGACGGCCTCGAACTTGGGCAGAGCCTGCTGAACCATGGCTGCCGCTTGCTTGGGAGAGGCTACACCTGCCCACAAGGCCCAGAAAGTGGTGCAACTTTCATAGTCGCACTGCTCCTTCTTGGCGGTGTTGTAGTCGAAGTACATACCCGCTTCCTCGTTCCAGAGGTACTTGTCAATGGCGAGCTTTCTGCGCTTCGCCCGACGGTCCCAGATTGCCGAAGTAACCACTTCGCCAGCCTTGAGCGGTCCAACAGCGAATTCGTCAGGAATGACGAGCTTATCGTTGAAGACGTTCCGGATGGTGCGGGCGATGTCAGTCTCGTACTTGAAGAGAAGCGAGTTCAGGTCAATAGTCGCGAGATCGGCGCAGATCTTCTCCAGTCTGTAGGAGGTGTCGTGGCCAGACTCACGCACAGCTCGGTCATGCAGGAAGTAGTCGTCCAGCTCCGGCTCCTTGATCTTGCCGTGGTTGTAGGCCTGAACAAACTCTTGCCAGGTGATGCCATGCTTCTCGGCGTAGGGTTCGAGAATGTGGACAAAGTGGTCTGCCTCCGTCTCAGGAGGAACACCCAATCCTTCAGGTCGATATCTCGAGAGACCAGTCACGGGGTCCAAACGCGGCTCAGCGACCCAGACACTGTGGTACTCCTTGATAGCGGCGAGCATAGACGTACGAAGGAATTCCTTGGCATCGGGCTCGTGCTTGATCTTCTCGTAGACGCGGAGGGCCATGTCGGTGAGGAAGGGGGGCTGAGAACGGCAGAGGTAGTAGGAGCGAGTAGCGTTGAGAACTTTGCCGTAGTGACGGATACAGAAACAGAAGTTCTGCACCATCGACTTAGCCAGATGGACTTTGTCATTAACCAAAAGACCAAGTGACTCCATGTAGCTGTCCCAGCCATAGAGCTCATTAAAGCGTCCACCCGGCACCACAAAGGGAAGACCCCTGAGTGTGTCCTCGCCCGTTTTGGGATCCTTAATCTTCTCCATTTCAACGGCGAGAAGGCCGGGCTTGGCGTTCATGTCGCGAACGAGCTCGGGCGTGATGACCTCGGGAAGCCTGACGACATCCAATCGGATCTCTGGGCGGTCGTGAGCCACCTTGGTGTAGAAGTCGAACTGTTCCGGAGCTCCAACAGGAACATAGATTCGCGGGCGGGGGTCATCGGTCCAGTCCTTGGGATCTTTGGCTGCAATCTCCACGGTCGAAGCATCAATTCTTCTCGTCAATCCCTCCCAGAAGTGGTCTTTGATAAGTCTCGACAATCGGTTCACGGGGTTCTCGTTCAGGCGGCCCTCGTCGAGGATGATCTGTTTGCGGCCGTATTGTTGGGCAAGCGACAACTCTTGCAGCAGGTTGGAAAGCATGTAGGTTCCTCGGACATCGAAACGGTTGTGGCCCGCGGAGGCAGCGGTTCTCAGGGACCAGACCTGGGTCGCATCAGTATTAGCTTCGTTGTCTCCTTCTGGACAGTGGGCGACGGGAATCATAGGTATACCTTGGGACCATTGTCCTCAATGGTGATTTGCATGTTTCCATCGGTATCTTCTTGAGCCTGCAAGCTCTTGAGCGTCTCGTCTACTTGAATGAGGAACTTTCGGTTCGCAAGGTTTGAGGATTCGTCTAGATGATTCGTAAGTCAGCACATCAGCAGCCCCGAGTGACAGCACCGTAAGCAGGAGTGGACTGACCGTGACTGCCTCTTCGGAAGGGCTCGCGAAGTCCCATGCGCTCGAATTGCTGGAACAGGCTGTTCTGAAGAAGGAAAAAAAATAGAATCAGTATCTACTACAAATGGTTCCAATGGGTGACAACAAGCGGTCAGGCGCGCGGTATCGGCAGGGGTGGCTAACGTACCTGTGAGTAGGTTCTGGTTCGAGGTCCAGCACGGTTAACATGGCGCTCCTCTGAGGTATAGTAGGTTTTCGCATCATCGAAGACACCATTGCCTTGGTCCTCACTGCCACCGCGAGGGCGGCGTTGACTCGTCGGAGAAGTCATTGTGCGCGGGTTAAGCGGGGTTGTTCGCGGCGATAGCTGGCAAGGTGGGAAAGCTGAAAAGACCTGAGTCAATTGCTTGCGATGGGAGATGTAGGTCGCTGGATCGGTATCAAGCGAGGGTATACGCCGAGCTGGCCGGAGTCGAACTTGTAGGAGTATCGAACGAAAGGAAGAAAAAAAGATACTCGGCGATGTGAGGATCGTGGCGGTGTAGGGAGTTGGCTCGGTGAGAGAATGGGGGGAAATTGATGTGTGTAGGAATCCGTGTCACGAGGACCCCAATGCGAGTGGGAAGAGACAAGGGCGGCGTACGGGATGTGTTGGCTGATGCGGTCTCAGGTCTTGGGCCAAGCAATCAGGGTACCTTCAAATGGCAGGCGCAACAGGCAAAAAAGCAGGTAGGTGAAGGTGGGAGAGAGGTATCGGTCGGTACGGGTAGGTAAGGTAGGGTTGCAGCTGAAGCAAGGTACACAGCTTCCTGCAGCTGGCAACCAACGAGTTAGCACCCTTTTGCTCTTTTGATCTTTTTTTGGTACCTTACGTTTGCAGAATGTGCGCTCGTACTAATAGAGGCTGCACTATTTTTTTCTCCGACGTGGGACGGAATAGCTGTCGGAGATGCGAAAGTGAAGTTCGTTCGGTTTTCCTGTGTCGTCATAGGGAAAGAACTCCAGAGCTATGTGAGCCTGTACGGATACCAACTGCACTCTTTCTCGTGTGAAATCCGGTTCCAATTCTTTAAATGGAGCCAAGTCGGGTCCCAATGACGCTATCGTGCCAGACGTTGCTTTTCCAGCGGTCTCCCCCACGCCCGGTCCCCCATCCTTTTCGCCTCGCTGCACGCTGCGGTGAGAGGTGCCGGGTAAGGCGTGGGCCAGGAACCTCGGGTCAGCCAATCAAATGTCTTCCGGTCATCTCCGACCCACCCCGTGCCCTCGATCCAACCAAACCCGGCCTTTCTCCGCTCCAGCTCCTCGTGTCACGTGAAGCCATCTGAACAGTCGGCCCAAGCTTTCCTTGTCCATTCGGTCCTGTATCGCGACAATTCGAGTTCACCAGTACTTGATACTCGTGATACTCAGGCAAAAGTACATTACAGAGTTCTAGACTCGCTCAGCTTACTCCGTACATTTGACATCAATTGAGCCTCATACAACATTCCTCAAAAGACTTGCATCCGCCTCCGTTGTCCGGTGGAACATGGCATAAGTTGGGGTAGGAATGTGTACCCCGCGGACTCTGAGACCCTTGAATATGGCGTCGCCTCATCCGGACCAAGCTCCCCCAAGAATTGTCATCGGACTCTTCGCCGCCAAGGCTCCCAGCTTTGCTTTTTCTCTTGTTTCTTCCTTTTCTCTCTTTCGTCAGCCAGCGACGACTACCTATCCAATTTCCCCAAACACTCAATTCTCATTCCACCTCACTCCGTAACACTCGGCTAATATTCAATGACATCGCAAAGAGTTGTCGAAATGTGACAAGAGAACTGCTGGCTAGCTTTGCAGTCACATTAAGACGCTCGGAAGCAGCTGACATGATTTAATACTTCGATGACCCTGGTGAGGCAGCACACAAGTTCACCTCGGACAAGGCTCTCCAACTTGAAGCCTGGTTCTTCAACCCCCTTCCCCCTCTCACCCCTTTGATGGTGTCAATCAGGAGGTCTGGCCAAGACTCCGAGACCGTTGTCAGCCTTGATCGCTCATGTTCTGTGTATTGCACTGATATATGCTGTTTCACGTTACGGACATGGAGAGGATTTGCTAAAGAGTTGACGTCCTCGGGATCCGAGGGAAGAAATGTGGCGTGGCTTATACGGGCAGAGCTGGCCAACACCAACTTACTTAACCGCAATAACAAGCTAGATGGTATGATGTTTTGAAGACTTCTTCATTATTTTAAGGTAATGGGAACACTCTAGTTTGCGCATTTTCAAGCTCTGATTTTTTAACTTTCTCTCAACCATGGTTGATGATGCCCTCAAACCAATTGTTCGCTTTTACCAGCAGTGATATCTTTTGCACCGTCGAGTCATTGATCGCAAAGATCTCTTACAATATTTGAGTAGTTGGGTAGATAATTGAGTCCATGGCAAGTATCATGTCGTATTCCACCTCATTCTATCATGATCCGCCTTCAATGCCTCTAGCATCATGAACGAGCTGGGTCGGATGGCCCCTCGCCCCAAGTTCGTATATACTTGGCTCAAATTTACTTACATAACGAGTCAGTCACCATCAATCATGAATGTGATTACCCTAACGGCATCTCGATAGCCATGAGATGGTCTTACGTGAGGTCTGTCAACTGCATCGTATTTGATCCACATCACTTCGAGCATCGATCCAGGTTCATTCATTTCTTGGGTCATGGCTTCAATTCGACCTGTGAGTTTCCACGTTCAATGCTTACACAGTACATTGCGATTACCCTGAGCCACTCGAGTATCTCGTGTGCCTGGGATGCCTGGGTGACTCCTCGTCGCCTCTGGAACCATGGAGTCTGGCTCAAAGCCACCAACTCGTAGTAGCGTGCGAGTAGCAAAGCTGTGAAACATGTCACATCGTCTCTGTCTCCAGCTCGTATGACGATGAATTGTATGCGACTTGACGGAGATACATGGGTGGCTTTACATAGTGAAGCGTCAGGTTGACAGATCTTGCCAGTCGGCCCGCGACCAGCGTTGATCGGTCTATAAGGGTGATATGCTTCAGGACAGACGGTTGAAACCCGCCTCAATGAGCATTACTCCATGGAATTATCTATTCACCAGAATCTTCACTTTGAGGATATAGTTCTCGCAGACCTGTTCATAGATACGGGGCCTATACTGTTTGCATTGATACATTGGTAAAGTGATAATCCGATTATCGTCAAGTCGATGTAAGTCAGCACTCAGCTGGACATAATGACCTCGCCGCAAGAATACAGCTGGCCTCACTAACCAGACTTGGAGGGGCTCAATGATGCCAACAACTTACATTTGATAAGTGGTCCTTATACAGGAGCGCAGTAATTAATAGCAAGCGTCAAGGGGCATGGCACTATTGTGAGGGCTGGAGGTACCGCTCAAGGCACTTATAGCTCTGGAACATTCTCGTAAGGACCATCTCTTGACGTTGTGATAGATGAAAAGATGTCTTTCTGGTAAGATCTAGAGGTTCTGTTTGTGATGAAACGGTCTCCTCTCACAGTAAAGCCTCTTCTCACTCCTCTCCATGCCAGCTATGATCTGTCGAGTGTGGTGTGTTATGAGCCATTGGCAGTCGTCGAAGATATCCTTGAGCGCTCTCAATCTCATACTATTCTTCGATCCATACCCTTAAAAGTGTCTTGAAGAACCGCAGGGACATTCTTATTCACTTAGCGACGTGTACCTTACCAGGCAAAGTGGTCGATATTGATCTCATCATAGTCACAAAACTCCTCTCGTATGGCCTCACTCGGCAGTGACTAGAGTGCAGCTAGTATGAAGAGGTCCGATTGGAACAAGTAGTATATAGCATGAGTGGAAGCGATGCTTAGAACGGAAATCGGCTATCTATATCACAAGCCCGCACTCAATGGGGTGAGGTGAGCATGAGAGCTCCTCGAGAGTAGAACATGATGGCACGGCGCTAGCAACTACGCGGAGATGATGAATAAGAAGGCCATATGCAAGATAATGTGTGCAGGTTCGAATCTTGAGAATATAACTAGTGCTTTCCAATTCGTTCTCTTGGCTGATCGGTTTCCAACCACGACATTTGCGTTTTACTTCCAATAGAACGCGAAGGATGAGAAAGGTGAATTCATGGAAAGTCTCACATCTTCTTCCCTGAATCGCCCTGACGAAATTCTTCATTTTAGCTGTAGACCAGACTTGGCATTTGAATATCTACTAGAGCTCATTCCTGTTATAGGGTCGTCTACGAAGAACCCCATGGTTGTTGGAGACTCGTGGGAAAAGAGATATAAGGAGATAATCCATAGTTACAAGGGAGCCTCGCGCTGCGCATACGAGGCCTGCCGTATCCTCATAGTAAGTCGCATTCTCGTTCGACTATTTTGAACGTCTGTATACTTGTAGTGCAGCTCACTCGGTAAAATCCCACTCTCCCGTCTCTTGTGCCCGGCCACATAAAAGGGGGAGAAATTGGAATAGACAGCCGCTCAAGATATTCTCAAAGGTAGAAAGAGTTCATCTCGGCAAGCTAAATCTTTGAGCACTCATGCTGGAAATATATCTCTAACCCAGAGTCTGGCTTCGAGTAGGTTATGGGCGCACTTGATCGTTGACCTTCGACCACTCCGCCACCCACTCAGCTTGTCCTGGCCCGTCGACCTAGACGGGCGCCGCCTGAATAATGAAGGTAATGAAGTTGGAAGGCTATATATGCGCTTTGATTGTGATGTCTTCATTGTATGGAAGGGATGGACAGAAAGGCGTATGCGGAATCGTCTAGCGATAGACGGAAGTGAAGAGCAATAAGCCGATTCCACCTAGAGCTCGCTTTTCCTCTCTCATTTCATGCACCACGTCTGATTACATGATATATAGTATTCCGAGGTAGGTTGAACTCGCAGGGTTGTCTCAAAAAGGGATTGGGAGCTAGGCTGTTCTGTAGATTAGGATATCTGGCAAAGTGGTCTTAACCGGCATCGTCAGTCTGTCGTTTACGCTGGTCCTGAGAGTTATTGTCACCAACGGACTTGGCAACTCTGAATCATCCGTCGGCTAGTTTCGATGTTGATCATGGTTGCAATAGCGCAATTGAACGGACGCGGACGTGGTAATAGCCCCTGAGGCATCGCACACTAACACACCGCTTTGCTGGTCCGGAGATTGATCTTTAGTACCGCAAATACATTTCCAAGACCAAGAAACCCTGCCGTTCTGCGATCTTGCCTGCTGACTTGTAGCCTGTCAGCTCTCGGCTCACAATTGAACTCGTTCTCACCACTTCGACTAATGCCAACGCCGATGGTGTATGTTATATATGCCTCTTGGCAGCAGTAGTAGAGTTCGCCGGACATACACAATCTCTATTCTCCCAAATGTGTTCTTAGTGCGGTTCAGATAGACCGCTCAATCTTTACGCTTGAGGTCTAATTCTTGGGGACAGTGATTTGTTGATAAAGTCAGAAGACTAGGTCTTCGCGACCATTGCCATTCACGGGGACACGCCAGGATGTGCTATACCCTCCGACGTCTTACCAACGTAGCCAAAATCCCCGAACTACCAGATAGATGACATGACAAGGACCACATTTGTATGCTAATTTCGTCTTAATAGTCGTTCACCTCTACCCGTACTCCCATGCAGATCACCGGGCAGAACGGGCTGAATACCACGAGAAGGCCTAGTGTTTACAGGCCTATGCTCCCTTCTCAAGTCAGTCTTCTGAAGTCATTTAGAGCTTCGACGTCAGCCTCATCACACGATTTTAGAACCAACTCTCGTGATTCATCATAGCGAAGCTTCAGGTGCTATGTCTACCCCTCCATTCGGCAACATCGAAATGTCATTACGATCAGCCTGGGCACTTTGAGCTTAAAGACCTGACTCTCGATTATGAGATAGAATCAAAGTTCACAAGTCGTCAAGGCATGAAAGGTCCTGGGATTGCGTGGGCAGACGAGGGAGCGCCAAGCGCCGTCACATTGTATGTCAGGGAAGTAAAACGCGTCGGAGG